GAGGCATCTGCTGGAAGGCGCTAATCATCCTGTAACTGTTCTCAGTGATCATGAAAATTTAGAATTCATTCAGTCAAAAGAATGTCTTCTAGACAAGTATGTTGGTCTCTATTCCTTTTCAGATCCAATTCTATTATCTCATATCGACCTGGGTTAAGGAATGATAAGATGATGCTCTATCGAGGATGCTGTCTGAAACTCTCCCGGAAGGAAACTCTGAATGCACACTCCTGCCTCAAAAGAACTTCCTAGGGACCAAAAGTTCCCAAACATTCTTGAGTCTCCTCAAAGAGGGTTATGAGAATGATCCACTTCTCAATTATCTTCCTAAGGACATTAACCTTAAGTACAGGAATGGCTTTTGGGCTCATGCATATCGTCTCTATATACCTGAATCTGCTCATGTTGAAGCCTCAGGATGGTTAATGACTCTAAACTTACAGGGCATTTTGAGGTTTCTAAGACAGAAAGGAACTTGCATCACATTCCTTTTGGTGGCCTGGTTACAAAAAAAAATGTCAAAAGCTATGTGACCTCATATCTGACCTGTGCACGCAATAAGACACCCCAATTTTATCTTTGGGGTTACTCCACCCACTCCCTGTTCCATCAAGACCATGGTTGATCTTCCTCCCTCAAAAGAGATTACTACTACCTTGGTGGTCATCCACTGTCTCACTAAGATGGCTCATTTTATACCTGTTAAGGGGGTACTTTCTGCTGCACAAACTTTGGATTCGATGGTTCAAGAAGTCTTTAAACTACATGGAATTCCTGATGATGTAGTGTCTGATAGAGGAGTGCAGTTTACTTCAAAATTCTGGAAAAGCTTTTCCTCAGCTCTAGGTGTAACATGTAATCTGTCCTCTGCTTGTCATCCTCAGTCTAATGGTCAGATTGAGAGGACCAATTAAACCTTCAATGTTTTTTTCATTAATTTCATTTATTCATGACTAGGTAGACTATCTTTCCTTGGCAGAGTTTGCTTATAGCAGTTCTAAACATAGCTTTCCTTCTCAAAATCCTTTTTATTTTAAACACCAGGTATCATCCAGTTTTTATTTATAATCTTTCATCCTTCACTCCAATTTCTGCTGTTACCAACAGATTAAAGAATATGTAAATGCAGCATTTCATATTCCTGATATGTTCCTACTGCACCATGTACTTGTATGCGCTTGTATGAAAAGGTATCCTGTTTTCTTTGTATTGCTTCCTTTTTGTGAAATCCCTGGTGTTATTGCCAGTCCCTCTGCTTTCCTTTAAAATTAAAAACTGACCACACTAGGTAGGAGAGCAGATCCAAGATGATAAGACTTGTCCTGACACGTCTCCCTTCCCCCTACCTCCAGCACCTCTGTGAAGATCGGTGTGCTGCTCTTATGCAGCTAAGAACAGAAGGTATGTAATTACTGAGATTGGCAGTAAGTGGGAGCCTATTCACACCAAGGCATTGTGATAACACATGGTATGTGCATTGATAGACTGTGGTGCTACACATTGTGTATGTCAGAACCAGTTTCTTAACCTGCAACCTCTATTGTGACTGACAGTATCACTTTTTGCAGAACCACCTGAGATGCGCGACAGTAGGAAATATTTGCCAAGATAATTTTAAAATTGTAATATAGCTGGAGTCATTTATATGTTTCTGTGTCCTTGTCGGGCTTTTTATGTGAGCAAAACATGCAGGCCTTGGTGGAAGAAACTGTATGACCACACCTCATCAATTAACAGTGGTGACATCTATAGCCCATTAGCCAGACATATTGCGTTGGACCATAGGTATCAGGTCCCCTCAATTATATTTTTGGCTCTTGATCGAATTTATCAGAACACGCAGGGAGCAGACTCGAATAAGAGCCTTCTTCAGCGTGAAGCAAAATGGATTCATTTTTTAAAAGCCACATCCATTCCAGGGTTAAATGAAGAAATTCAGTTGCTCCATTTTTGGATAGCTTGTTGGAATTAGGACTGTTTAGATCTATAATACATATTTATATTCTTTCTTTGAGCCTTATTTTATGACTCCATCGGGCTTATTTTTGCCGTTTTTGAGATGATTGTTACTGTATTTTGAAGCTATATATCTCAATGACATTGTGGGGGTTATTTACTAAAACTAGAGACTGAAAATTCTGGTGCAACTCTGCACAGAAACCAATCAGTTTCCAACCTTGTGGACAGCCTTCCCAGAATCCCAGAAGAGTTGAAACCATTATAGCTGCAAAGAGTGTGTCAACTCAATATTGAACCCTATGGACTAAAACTTGGATGCCATTAAAGTTCATGTGTAAAGGCAGGCATCTCAATACTTTTGGCAATATAGTGTCTATCTATCTATCTATCTATCTATCTATCTATATATCTATCTATCTATCTATGTACACCCTCTCTATAATATATATATATATATATATATATCTCAGCTATTTTTAATAATTTTAAAATGTTTTTCTAATATCTATGTAAAGAATAAGAAATAAGATGAAAGGACACCATGTAATATGTTCCAATCAACCTGTATATTATATTGGAACAGTGTGGAAACAGATTTTTGCTGTTAATATTGAATTTTGATGTAAGGTTCTTGTGGAGACGTATAAAACACACAAATTGATTGGAACATTACAGGGTGTGATAAGGGGATTTTCTGTAAAGCCGCCCAGGGCTGCTATATGGAATATCCTGCATTTTTAAAAAATATATAATATATGCAATTTACTGTATACAGTTAATTTTTATCACTTTAATTTTCCCATTATGGGCGTGAATGGGGCCTCATGTCTTCACCCGATACAAATCTGCCTTCCTAACATACACTTCCTCCCTTCACGCTGTCAAACAAGCCTGCTTTGTTGCCCTCATTAATACCTTCTCCTTCAGTCCTCGTCGGCTCTTCTCTACTTGTAACTCTCTACTTTCTCCACCCCCACCTTCACCCAGTACCTCACTCACCACCCACGAGATTGCTAACCACTTCAAAAACAAGATTGACGCAATTCGTAGGGACATCGCCACTGCTCAGACTTCCACCCCACCTAGCATTGCTCACACTAAAACCCCCTCAACACTTTGCTCTTTCGACCTCGCTACTACTGAGGAGGTCACTAAGGTCTTCTCAGACCACCTGCTCCCTGGACCCTGTCCCCTCACAACTCCTACAGTCACCCTCTTCTTCCATCCTACGCTCCCTCACTCACATCTTCAATCTTTCCCTCTCTACTGGCACCTTCCCCTCCCCTCTAAAGCCCGCGCACATCACTCCCATACTTAAAAAACCCTCTCTGGACCACTCCGACCTGAACAACTTAAGACCCATCTCCCTGCTGCCATTTACCTCTAAACTCCTAGAGAGCTTAGTCTATAATCGCCTGAGCTCCCACCTCACCGACAACAACCTTCTCAATCCTCTACAGTCTGGCTTCCGTCCCCTACACTCCACTGAAACTGCCCTACTCAAACTCACCAATGACTTACCACCAATGACTTGACCGCCAAAACCAATGGCCACTATACAATACTCCTACTCCTCGACCTCTCTGCGGCTTTTGACATGGTTGACCACCCCCTCCTCCTCAAAATACTACACTCTCTTGGCCTCAGAGACTCTGCTCTCTTCTGGCTCTCCTCCTATCTATCACAGCGCTCCTTCAGTGTTACCTATAACGCTGCCACCTCCTCTTCACTCCCTCTCTCTGTTGGGGTCCCTCAAGGTTCTGTCCTTGGACCCCTTCTCTTCTCCATCTACACCTCCTCCCTTGGCCAATTGATAAATTCCCACGGCTTCAATTACCATCTCTATGCTGACGACACACAAATCTATCTCTCTACCCCTCACCTCACCCCTTCTGTCTCCACTCGTATCACAAGCCTACTAAGTGACATATCGGCATGGATGTCACTCCACTTCCTCAAACTCAATCTTTCCAAAACTGAGCTCCTAGTATTCCCCCCAGCCCGTGCCCCCGACTTCTCCATCAAGATCAACAAACACTATCATCAGTCCCACCCCTCAAGCCAGGGTACTAGGTGTCATCCTAGACTCCAATCTGTCCTTTCAGCCCCAGGTCGCTGACAAACTCATGTAGACTTCACCTCCGCAACATCTCGCAAAATACGACTGTTCCTAACATCGGAAACTACTAAGCAACTCATTCACTCCCTTATTATATCACGCCTCGACTACTGTAACTCCCTCCTCATTGGCCTACCTCATCGCAGGCTATCCCCGCTTCAGTCTATCATGAATGCTGCTGCCAGACTCATCCACCTTACTAACCATTCTGTATCTGCCACCCCTCTCTGCCAATCCCTCCACTGGCTTCCAATTGCCCAACGGATAAAATTCAAAACACTAACACGGACGTATAAAGCAGTTCATAACACTGCCCATATTACATCACCGATCTTGTCTCCTAATATCACCCAAACCATACTCTCCGCTCCTCACAAGACCTCCCACTCTCTAGCTCCCTTGTGTCCTCCTCCCATGCTCATCTCCAGGACTTCTCCAGGGCTTCCCCCATCTTCTGGAACTTCCTACCCCAATCTATCAGACTATCGCCTACTCTGCTCACTTTTAGGCGCACTCTGAAAACCTATCTCTTCAGGGAAGCCTACCCCGCCCTCAGCTAACACTGGAATCATCTACTCTTCCAACCACTCCATCCCCCACAGTTATTACCGTTTGTACCACTATCCCCTCCCTCCTAGATTGTAAGCTCCAAGGAGCAGGGCCATCGATTCCCTCTTGTATTGAATTGTATTGTTACTGTACTGTCTCCCACCATAATGTAAAGCGCTGAGCAAACTGTCGGCGCTATATAAATCCTGTATAATAATAATAATGTCTAAATTTTGCCTAAGGCCTCACAAAGCCTAGAGCCACCTCTGTATATTCTGTTCATTGTGCCACAAATTTGCATTGTTTTCCCTGATTTCCTGATTTTATTCAAAAAGCGATTACCGTATTTTTCGCTCCATAAGACGCACCTGACCATAAGACGCACCTAGGTTTTAGAGGGGAAAAACAAGAAAAATAAATATTCTGAACCAATGGACTGCAGACACAGTACAGGGGATGACCAGAGACTGCGGCGGACACAGTACAGGGGATGACCAGAGACTGCGGACACAGTACAGGGAATGACCAGAGATTGCGGACACAGTACAGGGGATGACCAGAGACTGCGGACACAGTACAGGGGATGACCAGAGACTGCGGACACAGTACAGGGGATGACCAGAGACTGCGGACACAGTACAGGGGATGACCAGAGACTGCGGACACAGTACAGGAGATGACCAGAGACTGCGGACACAGTACAGGAGATGACCAGAGACTGCGCACACAGTACAGGAGATGACCAGAGACTGCGCACACAGTACAGGGGATGACCAGAGACTGCGGACACAGTGCAGGGGATGACCAGAGACTGCGGACACAGTGCAGGGGATGACCAGAGACTGCAGACAGTACAGGGAATGACCAGAGACTGCAGACAGTGCAGGGAATGACCAGAGACTGCAGACAGTGCAGGGAATGACCAGAGACTGCAGACAGTGCAGGGAATGACCAGAGACTGCTGACCTTTGGGGAGGGAGGGGGAGCGGGTACCTGAATTTGTCAGGTACCCGCTCCCATTTCCGCGGAGTTGTCCTTCCTTCCTTCTTCCCGGGCCGGCTTCTGTGATGGCCGGGTGCCCACTGCGCATGCGCGAGAAGCGCTGCGCTTTGTGAATGGCCCGGCGCCTTCTGGGACCTGTCATGTGTCCCAGAAGACACCGGATCATTCACAAAGTGCAGCACATGCGCAGTGGGCACCCGCCTGTCACAGAAGCCAGCGCGGGAAGACTGTGCAGCGCTGGAGCGAGGAACAGGTAAGGCCCTGCAGGAGAGAACAGCTGAGCGGCCGGCCCGGTATTCTGACATGGTGGCGGCAGAAATACCGGACCGGCCGCTTTATATTCGCTCCATAAGACGCACTGACATTTTCCCCCTTTTTTTTTGGGGAAAAAAGTGTGTCTTATGGAGCGAAAAATACGGTATATTTTTACACATACAGTATATATGTTTAAATACATTACTCACAGGACTTAAAGGATCTGCTACTGATGGCTTAGTGCAGATACAGCACCATACCTTCAGGGGTCTAGTGGTGTCCATGCTTCAATGGGTGAGGGCTGTTTTGTCAGCAAAAGTGGGACACACTCAATATTAGGTACAGTAGGTGGTCATAAAGTAATGGCTGATAATCCATATATACAGTGTAAAATATATATATATATATATATATATATATACAGTTGTGACCAAAATTATTATGCTGTAAAGGGGTTTAGGGATATATACATTTGGAATTGTATTCAGAATCAAACTACACGTTGTAACACAAATGCAACATACATTGTTTATGTAATACAGTAGTAAATGGTTCTTATGTGCTCGGTTTCTTCATTGCCACAAAATTCAACATACCCCTTAAAGACTACCACTCTGAAAACAGAGGTTCATACAGGTGCTTTCCATCAGGTATTGAAAACACCTGTGGATGTCACCGAGCAGCAATCAAGCATACAAAAATAATAAGCACCAATTAGGCAGCTTTAAAATGACTGTGATACTCAGCTCCTTCTAGACATTTACTGGTGTGGTTACAAACATGGTGAAGGCAAGAGAATGGTCCAGGAAGACAAGAGAAGAGGTGATTTCTCTTCAAGCTATAAGAAGATTGCAAAGATGTTAAACATACCAAGAGACCCCTTAGGAAGCATCATTCGCAAATTCAAGGCAAATGAAACGCTACCTGGTCGTGGCAGAAAGAAGATGCTGACTTCGACTGCTGTGCGCTACCTGAAGCGTAGAGTGGAGAGAAGTCCCCGTGTGACTGCTGAGGAACTGAGAAAAGATTTGTCAGATGTGGGTACAGAAGTTTCAGCCCAGACAATAAGACGCACACTGCGTAATGAAGGCCTCCGTGCCAGAACTCCCAGGCGTACCCCCTTGCTGTCTCCAAAGAATAAGAAGAGTCGACTGCAGTATGCCAAAAGCCATGTGGACAAACCACAAAAGTTGTGGGATAGTGTTTGTGGACTGATGAAACAAAATTAGAACTGTTTGGGCCCATGGATCAACGCTATGTTTGGAGGAGGAAGAACAAGGCCTATGATGAAAAGAACACCTTGCCTACTGTGAAGCATGGTGGAGGGTCAATCATGCTTTGGGGCTGTTTTGCTTCTGCAGGTACAGGGAAGCTTCAGCGTGTGCAAGGTACCATGAATTCTCTTCAGTACCAGGAGATATTGGATGGAAACGTGATGCAGTCCGTCACACACCTGAGGCTTGGGAGACGTTGGACCTTTCAACAGGACAATGATCCCAAGCATACCTCCAAGTCCACTAGAGCATGGTTGCAGAGGAAAGGCTGGAACATTTTGGAGTGGCCATCGCAGTCACCAGACTTAAATCCGATTGAGAACCTCTGGTGGGACTTAAAGAAAGCAGTTGCAGTGCGCAAGCCTAAGAATGTGACTGAACTGGAGGCCTTTGCCCATGAAGAATGGGCGAAGATACCCGTAGATCGCTGCAAGACACTTGTGTCAAGCTATGCTTCGTTTAAAAGCTTTTCATTAAAAAATGATATTTCATTATAACTGTTATGTTATATTAACTGTAAAAGGATGCTGTACTAAGTACTAAGATTGAATGTCACTTGGGGGTTGAATAAAACTGATAATGCTGTGAGCACAGAAAAGACATTTGTGGTTATTTCATTATAACTGTTATGTTATATTTGTCTGACTACAAGTGCCTCTTTAATGTAAATGTAAGCAAGATGACTGAATGATCAAAAGCAATGTCAAACTGGCCAAAAACACTCAATTTCAGTGGGGGTTGAAATTTGGTCACAACTGTATATATATATATATATACACACACACACACATACAGTGTGACAGTCCCATTGCTCGGAATTTTACTTTGATTGAAAGAGTAAACATCTACAGAAAATAATTATCCATATATGATATGTGGGCAGGGCAGATTTTTTTTAAGTGATTATGAGAGCCCCCATTCAAGAGATTGTCAAGCTCTGGTCCACTTCAACTACTTGAGTAACCTCCCAGTTTACATTGCATGCTTTGCACACTCTTCTATTCGTAAATGTGGTGGCCATTATAGACACTCCTATCACATGCTGTGGCTATTAAAGCTCCTCCCAATACATGATGTGGCTAGTATAGCTTCTCCCACTACACACTCTAGCCAATCATGCCACATACCCAACAATATGCTGTGGGTAATAATGTTACTTCTAGGAAATGTTGTGGTCAATAAAGACACTTGAATAAAAGCGCTGTTGCAACTAAAGCTACTCCCACCATTTTTGGTTGCTATTAAAGCCACTCAGAGAGCATCCAATGGTCATTAAAACCACTCCCACCACAAGATGTGGCCATTAATACCACTTCTAACACATGCGGTTGCAAACACAGCCACACTCCCCACATGACTTGGCCATTATAGCCACACCCCCACATGCTTTTGCCTTTTACAGCCACACCCCCACATGCTTTGCTTTAAAGCCACACATCCCCACATACCTTTGCCATTAAAACCACATGCACTAAATGCTGTAGTTATTAAAACCCACTTCTGTCACATGTTCTGGCCATTATGAGAAGCTTGTACTGTCACTTTCATACTTTTATTTTTCATTAAAAAGCCATTTTTTCCCCTAAAAGCTAAATTTAACCCATCAACAAGCACCCATTCCTGAGATATAAGTCTTGCGTGGACTGACCCTTTAGACACAGTGCAGAGAAATGTAAAAAAAAGTGTATATTTTAGCTCAGCATTTATGCAAGCAGATATTTAAAAAAGTCCAACGCTTCTTTCTTGATGTCAGGGCCCCGGGTATGACCAGAGGTGTGTGGACTGACACAGGGAAACACAGGCTTCAGATATAGTATAAACAATATAATTTATTTAAGACTAAACAATACATAAATGCAGTGCAAGACTAAACAAACACAGTGAAAACAAACCAAACCAAAACCCCCAACAGATAACAAAAGAACAATGCTAAGCGTAGTCGGACGGGATGGGTCAGGAACAATCAGGCAGACAAGGTACCAAAGGAGCAGACTGGAGAGTGGTCAGGAATAGCAGAGGTCAGGACAGGCGGAGTACAATCAGAGTCAGGGATCAAGCAGGATCAGACAAGAAGCAGACAGGATGGAGGTACAGGGGCTCTTGGGAAAACATACACCAAGGCCCAGATTGCAAGTCTGGCCATTCCTTATATGCACCTCCTGCAATCAGCCTCAGGTGTTTTGGCTGACTGCAGAAGTGAGCCTCTGGTTGCTGAGAGCACCCGCTGGCCAGTCCTGGTACTGCAAACCACAAGGCAGGTGAGTCCCACCACTATTGGCGAGTCCATTCCTGACACTTGAACTCCGAAGGTCTTTGGTTTACAGTTTAGTTTCCTAGATACTTTTTTGTGTTTTCAATTAATCAAATTTTTATGATGATCAAAAATAAATGCAATACAGCAGGTGGTATGGTTTAAAGGGTCATTCTGAACAAAACTGACTTTTGCTAGAGGGTAAGATACACCCATTGTGTCATTTTTAAAATAGGTCACACCTAAACCATACAATATCTAAGTTTTAACATATAAATGCAATTTCAAACATCTTGCCTCTTGAAAATCTGAAGGTGCTCCTTGGATTTTGGGCCCCATTAAGCGGTATCACCATACTTAGGAGGAGTAGAAGGATGTGTTCTGGGGTGTAATTCTAGATATGCCCATGCTGTGTGTAAGGATTGACTTATTAATTGTCAGCTGTGTGTAAAAAAACACATTTTCATGTTTTTCTTAATTTTCTAAAAACTTGCGCCAAAAAAAAAAGATCTTCAAAAGACTCGCCATGCCTCTAATTAAATAATACATATATCACACCTACTCTCTGTTAGGCACATGGGTTTTTTCTTCCCCCATCAGTTGATACAGACAACTTCTTTGAACACTTTTTCTGTTGACTAAACCATTAACAAATGACAGTTGAGGTAGGACAAATCAGTGCATCATACATCCTTACACACATGGTTGTTAGATATTGCAATTGGCTATGCATGATTCAGTGGTACATAGTTTGGTTCAAATGTCATGGTGTGACTCATAACTTAAACCTAAAGAAGTCCTTGTATCAAGTCTACTATATGAGTAAAGACCCTAAAGAATGGTTTCCATTGAAGGGTGCACTGAAAAGGAAGACATTACATGCTGATTGGGTTCACATACTAAAGTTCCTACTCCAGATTCT